AGTAATCTATTTAGTATTTAATAATGATTAAATTAAAACCATAACCTAAGCCGAAAACATGAAGTGACAGCATGGAATTCTTTCAATTCATCGTTTTACTCACTTGTGAGGATAGCGCGCGTTCACCACTAGCACACAGCAACTGAATCTCAATGACCAATTTGGTCATTTTTGTTTGAATAGTGATTAAAGTTTGAAGGGCAAATCTGTAACTTCGTTCCAGATCATTGAATTTCTTAACGCCTTCACAGCATCTCATAGTGGGCCTCTTTGCATAGGATCATTCCCTTTTTCCAATTCTCTTTAAAACCCCTAGTATTAGCGTAAATTGCACGGTTCCTCATCAACATATGCCTATGTAGCAAATTTATCACCAACTTTTAAATCGAAACATTTTTAATCCTCAGCGTTTCGTAAGTGTTGTACAAGTAGCCTCAAAGGATTGAAGTCCTGAATTTATTTACTACAATGTAGAGTACTATCCTTGTTTGATTTTTACTAAAAATCAATTTTTTAGTAGATTTTGATAAAAAAATAATAAAATATGTAGTTAAAAAATTTATAAAAAAAATTGAATCTTATAAAATGTATAATTGAAAATGAGTGAGAAAAAATAATTATAGAAAATGGAGACCATATAGAGGCTGAGTGAATAAAAAATTGTTCATACAAAAAATAAATTAAAAAAAGTAGAAAGAAAAATGGAAAAAAAAAATAAAATCATTCTCTTTTATTTTAAACCACCATAGGTCCAACAACGCCTGCTTGCACTCCAACTCCTCAGTAGTCATCCCGTGCCTCAAACTTGTCAGATCTACCTTGCCTTCCAGTTATACACTTATTTTTTGATACTTTCTTCAAAACTTAGTTCAGAGTTGATAAGATATGCCCAATCTAGCATCTTCGATTTGGGCTAACCCCATACGGAATAGGGTTTACATCTTGTGAGGTGATGTTTTGCACTACTCTTCCCCTCATTAGAGAATCAAACACAAAATTTTCATCTCTACTACCAACTGACGTAGAGTGATGCAAGGAAGCGCAATAAAGTTGTATTATCCAAAATTAAGTTCGATAATTTATCCCAAACACTATTCATTTGGAGACCAACCCTTTTTTGCACTAGGCCCTCCACATATTTAGTCATGCACTGCATCAGCCGTAGTCTTTTTATTTTATCTCCATCATTTTTATTTTTATTTCTTTTCTTTGTCTTTTAGTTTCTAATTATTTTATGTGTTTCAATAATAATGTTATAATTCAACGAAATTTGACTTTTTAACTTGTGGACAATTTCTTTTGTTTCGCACTCGCAAAAAGGTTGAGGATTAATAATAATGTGATCTAAAAGTTAGAAGACCAAATTGTTATATAACCATAAAGTTAGAACCAGTTCTGCAAATTTTTCTAAAAATACTCACAGACTCACCCCCTATCGCTTTCTAAAACTTGTCAAAATACTTACATACTCCTCTCTCTACAGCAGCAAGCGAGAGCGTATACTCTCATCGTTCTTTCTCTTCGATTTAACCCACCCCATGAAGCCTTTGCTCTCCTAGAATACAACCCAGGTACCCTCTCTTTTTCTTTCTCTCTCTATTCTACATATACACATACATGTTATGAAATAAATATTTATATATATCTCGTTTGATGTATGTATGCATAATTAAGTCTTCATATTTCACGTTTTGTTTGCTTCGTATCTTAACTGGGGTCTGGAAAGACCCATTCCCTCAAGTCTTGCCTCTCAAGCCTCCTCAACTCTTTCTCGAATTTTGGCTATAAATTTTTGTAGATACATGCATAAATATGAGTCCCAAACTCTGTATGTATATATATGTGGTTGTATTTTTTTATATTGAAAATGATACTTGTGAAGAATGAAGTTTTGAAGGTGTTAATTTTTGTGGGAGTTGAGTACCCTGGTTTCTCATTAATGTGCTTTGATTTGTCGCTTGATTAGGTCCTTTTCTTGGGATAAAGTTTTCGTCTTGTAAAACAGATTTGGTTTCATTTAATAATGGATCTGTTTTTCAGGGGGAAAAAATTAGTTATTGACTATGTTAACTTGGCTGATATGTATTCTTGTCGAATTGTTTTTCAAAAAAAATATCTTAATGGCTGCAGTTTCACGGATTTATGCAATTTCTCAGGTTCAGTTTTCATGAATTTCGGCAATTCTTAAATATCAATTTTTTTTCTCAATATTTTATATTTATTTACTAAATAAAATACTGTTAAGTTCATATAACTAGTGAAAATTCGGTAAATTCTTTTTTGGAGTACTTGTTTATTGATTTTAAGCCCGTCCTTCATTTTTCCCCCAGGTTTGAGATCTGCTTCTTGTTATTTATGGCATTGAAACAAGAAGCGTGTTTAATTCTGGACTTGTATACAAAAGTAATTACAGGATATTCTTGAATGACTTAATCGACATACATTGCTTACACTTCTGTCATTTTGGCTCAGGTCACAATAAAGAGAACGGAAAAATTGCTCCTTGCAAGTGACAGGATAAAGAGAAAGGTGACGAAGCATAATTAATCTCTGGATACCAATATTAGTGGAATTGCATTTGTTAATGGATAAAAATGATCACTTGCATTTTGGTGATATAAAGTGAGGTAAGACTTTATTTGACTAAAAATATGTGTATTTTTTGAGTTTATATTGAATTTTGTAGCAGCCCAACCAAACAACATGAAACATATTTACCTTTCTAATTTTCTTTCTTTCATTCAATTTTTATTTGAGTTGTATAGACTCTCAATTCCAATTACATCTGATTTATACCAGAAATATAGCACCTTTCGATTTTCATAAGAAAAGGTCATGGTTATTGTTAGTCTTCAGGCATCAACTCTTGACAAATGATCTGAACTTTAGGTTTTCTGAACTTGAATCAATTTTAACTTGAAAGTTAAGTCAAAGTTGATTTGACATATATCGTCAACATATTATGTATTAAGTGTTAATTTAATTTTAAATTAATGTAGATCTATTAATTTATTGGGAGATGGCATCAGTTGAATCAACTCAAAATGGAGATTGCATTGATGCTATGACTTTTGACTGGTTACTTCCATTGGCATCCTCTGATGCATGTGACGACTTTGGAGAGCCTGAGATGCTTCCTCGAATTGGAGATGAGCATCAAGTTCAAATTCCATCCCTTTTAGGAGAGACCAATTGTATTTCTTGCACAAGGAATGCATCATATGCACAAAATGAAGCCCATTTCGACGACAAATTTTATATCGGGCTACCCATACCATTAATATTGGTGAGTAAGGAAGGTGAATGCCTGAAGCAAGAAACGTTGAAACTTCCAAGTGAACCAAAAACCATTCCAGACTCTGGACCATCCGAATCTAAAAATATCAAGACAACAGAGATTTTTTCCCATGATGAGAATGTTGGAATCATCATTGGGCCTTCATATAATACAGTAGATGATGGGGGACCAGCAGAAGAATCGAAAGAATTACCATCAAATGAGAAATTGAGTACTTGCAGTGGTCAAGAATTTCTTTTGCTTCCCGGATTTGTTAGTGATTATTTGAGTGACATTGAGAAGGAACCATTCTTGCTTGGTTTGTACATTTTTGGAAAAAATTTCATTCAACTGTCGCGATTCATTGAAAGTAAAGGGATGGGGACTGTACTTTCATTTTATTACGGTAAGTTTTATAGGTCCCGTGAATACCGTAGATGGTCAGAATGCCGGAAGATGAAAAGCCGAAGATCTGTACATGGACAGAAAATATTTTCTGGACTGAGGCAGCAAGAGTTGCTCTCTCGTATACTTCCCAGTGTGTCAGAAGAATGCCAAAATGCTTTGTTGGAGGTACTTTTATGAATTATTCTAATATACGAATTTCAAATAATTATTTTTTTGTCGAATACTTGCAATAGAAATGTGTCATTGTTCTTCTTTGAGAGAGTGTTTTAGCGGTATTAAATTTACTCCAGAATTATGTCTCAATTTGACTAGGATCAACTTTTAGGTAAGAGATGTGCCTGACCCTTTGTACCCTCTGCTTGTGGATGTCTCCACTATCTTAAATCTACAGGTTAATGTGCAAGAAAATTTTAGAGATGTTTTATAATGATGGATAATTTATTGGGATGTCTCAAAATTGTAAACAAAGCTAATCCACTTCGGGCAGGCTGGAAATCAAATTTTATGGATCTTCAATCGAAAATGAATACGACGAGTTGCAAACATTTGCTACAGCTACAATAATAAAATATAGTTCCTTCGATATATTTTTCTCCTTATTTTATCTCTAGAAATATGTGACATAAGCTAGATATTTCTGCGAATGATTTATTTTATTCTCATAATGCAAATAAGTCTTGATTTATTTTTGTTTTGGGTAAAGGATAGAGGGAATCGACATATGCCAAAATCACTACTGTTGTTTGTATCTTTTATTACTAGTGAATATATTCTCATTTTAAAATCTTGATGTGAAAAGCATAAGTTCTGACGTTCTTATTGTAGTATGGAAGGAAAAAGTATAATAATCCTCAATGGGATCTGGTCTCGAGTTTGAATGATTAATCATTAGTGTTTTAGGTTTCTTTCTGCCTTCCTTTACTTTGTTGGAGAGGAAATGAGTATCAATTGTTGAATTGGGCTTTATAATGATAGGAGCCCGAGCTATGAAGGCAGTTCAAATTTAGCATGATTTAGCTTAAGGTAGAATTAAGTGCCTCATTAACTTTCCAAAATATGCACTGAATATATCGTTCATAATTTGTCCCTGACCCCACACTTACTGAACTCCCTTCTGGGAAAATGATTTTTAGAAATAACTCCTCGAATTATGTTTGGCTTTTATTTTAAGATGACTTGATGAGATGTTTAACCTTGTGTAAAAGGGTTCAAACTAAAGAGCATACAATGGAAAATTAGGGATATGTTGGTGTAAGAAGGATGAAATGATGACGCTTGAGCGAATAATTTAATTTTTTAAAGTTTCCTTTTAAAGTCCAACATGGATATTTCAAGTGAGATAGCCCGTGCAAATGCATTTCTTTGTTGTCCCTAGAATGTTGCTTACCTGTGTTTTTTTATTCCTCGGAAGGTCTGTAAAACATTTGGAGAAGGAAAGATGTCACTAGAAGACTACGTCTTCTCTTTGAAGACAATGGTTGGGACAAACATTCTCGTAAAAGCTGTTGGAATTGGCAAAGGAAAGCAAGATCTCACGGGAATGGCCTTTGAAACTTCAAGGCCCAATCAAGTTATCCCAATTCGCCCAGAGATTCCAACTGGCAAAGCGTGCTCGGCTCTTGCACCTAGTGAAATCATCAATTTTCTAACAGGAGACTACCGGTTGAGCAAAGCTCGGTCAAATGATCTATTCTGGGAAGCTGTTTGGCCTCGTTTATTGGCAAGAGGTTGGCATTCGGAGGAGCCTAAGAATCAGGGTTATGCTGCTGTTTCCATGTATTCTTTGGTATTTCTCGTGCCGGGCATCAATAAATTTTCAAGAAGGAAATTAGTGAAAGGCGAGCACTATTTTGATTGTGTAGCTGATGTCTTGAACAAGGTTGCCAGAGAACCTGGGTTACTCGAGCTTGAAAATGAAGAAGATGAAAGGAACAAGAAGAAAGAAGAGTACAAGTGGGCCAGTGAAAGTAAGTTAGTAAAAGATGATGATGAGCTACCTATAAGGCAACACCATTTTTATCTTCAACCTCGCACCCATAAATGTAATACAGATGCCATGACATTTACAGTTGTAGATACAAGTTCTGCGGATGGAAAACCTTACAAAGTGAGAGAATTGAGGAGCCTGCCATTTGAAATCTCAAACACGATAATTTCTCAAAACCGTTCTAACGATAGCAATGGGGATACTCATGATGAGGCTACCGATGAATCTGACATTGTTGATACCATGTTAGTTGATGACAGTGAGACAAATAATACCAATCTTGGTACAACTAAATCCAGTGTGGAAATGCTTCCTGGCAGGAAAGATCATGATACTGTATACCAAGGAAGTGATATTTCAGTGAGTAAGTTGAAGAACAAAAAGGATTTGCGCCAGGACAAGCAATCAAGAAATTTGGTAAAATCCCGGTTGGGCAGAAAACTGAAACGGAAAAATGTGGACAATGTAGCTCCTACTACCAAACGGCATAGGAGATTAAACGCTTGTAGTCGTAATGAAACAAGCAATGGTGTGACTCATTCAACTTTGGTTCCCAGTCTGGAAAATGAAATAATTAGTTTGTGCTCAGGTATTCATGAATTTACTGAGAATATATCTGCTCAAGCAGTTTCATCACAAGAAAAGTTGTCATATACCGGTTCGTCGAAAGGTAGCCCTAGCGGGAGTGTTGAATGTACAGAACCTCATCCTCGGCACCTTCAAAGTCATTCATTGATTGATTTAAACTTGCCTCAAGTTTCCCCAGACTTGGAGAATGCTGTCTTAACAACAGAAATACTTAAAGAGGAAGATGACCAAATACTCAAGCCAGATGATCATTGTCCACTAAAATCCTCTATAGTTGAGGGTAATTCAGGGGAGCAGCCTAACCCAAATCTGCAGAGGCACAGCACGAGAAACCGACCTCTAACAGCAAAAGCATTGGAAGCTCTAGCAAACGGATTTTTAACTACAAATCGGAAACGGAAAAATAAGGATACCACTTCACAAGAAAACCTGACACCAAGACCTCGACGGTATGCCCGTGACATGGTGGCTCTTAATGAGTTCAGCAATGATACTGTGACTTCCCAAATTCAAGAAGGTGAGAATGGCGTGTCTAACAGTGGCGACAGCAATGTGCGAGACAAATTTCAGGTTTTAAAAGACGAAAATATGAACCCAGTATCAGGCCTCTGAGGCTTTGATAAGCTCACAGCTTCAGCCATGAGAAGTAGGAACTCGATTTCAGCAGTTTGGGTTGTTATATCACCATTCTTATGCGGAGAGCACTTCATGTCGTTTATTCTTGTGCACTAGTTTATACTGCATTTTCTGTTCGCATGTTTTAACCGGTCATGATATAACAACTAGCACATTTTTCTTAGAAGAAGTCTACACTCTCGAAAGGTAAGAACTTATAATTTTGTTGGATTTACTTTCTGCAATCCAGATCATCGGCAGAAACAGGAGACTGAAGAAGAGTACTGCCCCACCCATTGAAGCCGAAGAAGTTCTGATACAATGACATTAATGACCTTTCGATTGGCAGCAGATGCCTGGTCAGTTATTCGAGAGAAGCAGTCCAAGTGGCTTTCTGGTATTCTCATGCTGCTGAATTTTTTATATGTTCCCGTATGATCCTAGTGACTCTGTAGAGTGTAAACAGTACAGTTTTGGCTGGTAATCCATCCCATTTTCCAGCCACCCTCTTCAGCAAATCGGCAAATGAAGATATTTAAGACTACATTTCATAATTATCTTGGCAAACGACTCGTGTTCTGAAACGAAAATGTTCATGACAATTCTTGATCTGATTTGACCATGTATGCATTAGGATCCAAATTCATGGAGATAAGAGGATCGAATTGACAACTGTTCCGTATGCTTCAAGGTAGATGAATGTGAAGACAATGGCTTTTTCTGTTGCATGGATTATAGCAACGAGCATCGCTTATTTTGTGTGATTATCAACCTTAAGTATTCTTTTAACTTTAGTTTTAGAAAGTAAAGCCAATGTGGGAATGTTTTAGGGCTCGTTTGTCAAGGCTTTTCTAAAGTCAAAATGTTCTTCCGAAACTAAAAATTTGCTTTTAAACCTATTTGAATAATTTTTTAGAAGTAGTTTTGTCTTACTAGAAGAGTTTTTAGATGAAGATGGCTACAAGAAACAAAAGCAAAAGTAGAAATCCTGTCAAATGAGCCATCATAAACAAGCTGGGAACTAAAAAGTTGGAATTTATGTGACTAAGCAAAAGATTAGATTAGATGAGAATTGTTGTTTGAAAAGAAAAATGTGATTTAAATTTAACTGAATCACTTATAATTTGAGAAAATCAAGTAATGCATATGATCATTTCTTATAATTTACTTTTAAGTAATAAAATAAGTAAAAAAAATAAAAAATTACTCGTGAGTTAAAAAATAACATACAAGCAAAGAAGTAACTTTTACATAAAAAAATCACTTGCAAGAAAAAAAACGCCAATTACCAATAAGTAAAAAATTGGCTTATAAGGAAAATATTGCTTATAACTAAAAAAATCGCTTATAAATAATAAAATTACTTGGGATTAAAACTAAGAATAAGAAAAATTATCTGTTGGCGGCGGGAGTCAACCATCCGAGCGAGAGTATCAACAAATATATTATAAAAAATATTATTTTTAATATTGTGTAAGGCCAAATGTCATATTAGAAAAATCCATCATAATCTCATCACTCCTAATCATATCCCACTTATCCTGTATGATGTACTAATCTTTCACGTGGTATTTTACCCTTAACATGTTTTGGCTCGTTTGAGAACTCTAATATTAAAATTTGACCCTTCATTCGAGCTTCTACATGAATTGAATTGATTGCTTAAGCTGTCAAACTCATTAAGAGAATTTAGTGCAAGTTATTATGTATTTGTTGATTATTTTCATATTTAAGCTAGGTTTTATGCTCAGCAAGTGAAGATGGTGCATCGAGAATGAACTGATCTTTATTGTTCTAGTTTTTTGTTATTTCGAACTTTTACAAATTAACACAAGACCCCCTTGTTTTTCGAATATATTGTTGTCAACACTAACAGCATGTTTGGCTAGCTTATGAGTAGCTTGTTCGGGTCTTATAAGCTTAGCCAAACACGCTCTAACGTGCTTTAATTTGAGTGCTTAACCAATTTATATCTATGTGAAGTCATTCACTTGTTGATCACCAGACTAATTTGACAAGACATCTTTCGTAGTGAAGTATTATAAAACTTTGCCAAAAGAAAGGACTACAACATTGGAGTCGAGCAGATACGAGGAAGAATTAATCCACTTGTACATTACCGTGTACATAATGTGAGTGTGGTGGAACCCACGATACTGTAGCGTAGGCCCCACCTCAACTCACATTATGTACACCCTTATGTACATGCTAATGTACAAGTAGCATTTCTCTACGAGGAAAGACCTACTCCTCCTGGAACCTTAAATGTGTCGCAGCTACACCAGGTTGTCCTTCTGCAACAGGGGAAGGCTGATGATATGATGGCCGATGATATGATGGCCCAATGAATATTCCCTAAACAGTCGAGCGCTTCAACACTGATGCTGCAGAGATTCCAAGTGTTAAGAATTGAATTTTCATCTTAAAAAGACAAACTTATTAATAGTAATGGTCCAAACACATATAAATTGATCTGTATTTGTATTTTTATCTTTATCCGAGAGAATTCATTCTTTGAGATACCCCATTGGTAGCTCGTTATGAACAAACCAATCTTGAAGCCCGTGTGCTTATTTTTTGAGTTTTAATCGAATCGAATTATTCATTAGAACTTAATAAACTTTAATACCATGTTAAGAATCAGGTTCTATCTTAAAAAGTCAATCTTATTAAAAGGAGTAGTCCAAATCCTTATTAATTAGTCTATATTTTTATCTTTATTCGATGTGAAATTTTATCCCTAACACGAGTGATCCTTCATTGTAGCAGTGCCTCCCGAGGACAGTAGTAAACGAACAACCATCAACCATGACTAGCATTCATAGTCTGAGTTTGATTCGCTAGTTGAGTCTTTTGTACAATGAATAATGGCCTGTGAATAATCCCTCAAATCAAATAATATCACTTGCCCCGCTTCTCTACATGGCCGGGCTCTATTAAGATGGGCAAATGAATGATATGAAACCAAAAGAGCTAGGTGAAGAAAGCGCAAAAAAAATGGCGAAATTCATTTTAAAACCGACTCTAACCTATCAGACATGAACTCATATGCAACAAATGTTACAGCACCAGCAGGTGCAGCTTTGACAATTGATGGGACAATGCCCTTATAGAGTCCGGCCCAACCTTCCGTGAGCAAAATTTGTCTGAGGGCATCATACATATTTTTGTACGCGTGATGCTCTACTCGAGCTCCATATCTTGGATCCCTTGGTAGACCTTCAATCTGCAGATCAACTCGAAACACAAGGTGATCTAGCTATAACATCTCTATCACGCATAAAATTGGAAACCAAATGCTCTAATTCAGTTGAAAACGGTTGAAATTTTACCTGATACCTCTTTTTGACCACATCTAACGGATGACAGACAGCTTTAGCACATGTTCCGGCAGCTAATCCACAAAGAAAGAGCTGGAAGCTTGAAAGGGTGTAATCAGTTCTGCTACCATCCGAAGATCTATAACGGTTCCAAGCCTACAAGAGTGACAGCCGGCAACGAGTGGAAAATAAAGTAGTATTAGCCAGAACATTCATTTTATGCTCAAATGATAGTAAATTAACACCTCGCCAACATGATCTATCTTATGTAGATAGAAGAGTCCATAAACGGTAATAATGGACCATCAGCTACAGAACAAACCTAACAATTCGTATGTGCTAGTTCTAATGCGAGGTTAAAGGATTCTAATTCCTGATATTATAAACAGAACAAGAATATCAAGAGACTGGATAAAGTATGCTTAGTCAAAGTTTTTGCATCTACAGACATGCAGAAAGATAAATCGCCATTGAGATGTGCCTGTTTGCACGTCTAGGAGAGAGACAGAATTAAAAGTTTACCATTGCCCAACGCTTAAATGTATCATAGGTTCCGAACTGCAATCCAGCATAAGGAACTATCTCAACCATGGTAGGTGTTAATCCAGCATACAGCCCTTGAAAGCCCCGGGTTTCAATTATATGAACAAATGCAGATCTCATGCTTGGATACACCTGATCATAAGCATAACACATTACTTCCAGAAAATTTCATTTGTATTGAACCATGCATATGACAAATGTGAGAAGTAGGTGTCTGCAACTTTCCGAGCCTGACCCACACAGATAAAACTTCCCCGCCTACGAATTGTGAATGATGAGTCAATTGACAAATAGTTTAACAGCAGTAATTATTTTTTAATATCGCCAAAGTGAGCATAATGTGGATAACAATGACAATAGAATCCACCTTCCCTTGGTAAGTTTTACACGATGTTTATTAGATTCTACAGGGACGATTACTGCCAAATGAAGCATGTGGTGTAATAATGATAACACATTAAATACACCCACAAATCTATTCTTTACAAACAGTCGCTTCAATAGATACATATACAATCCAGCAGAAAGCTGTACATGGTGTAAAATGTGCAACAGTTTAGAGTTTTGAGTTCAACATACTCAGATTCATGCAAATAATTTTAACTAAACAAATACCAATAATTCAATTGCATGCCTTAGGCTCAATACCTTTGGCTCCCCTTGCGAAGCTAAAATGGTTCTTAGAAGATCAAATGGATATGATCCAATAGTAGCGGCACAGCCCGCCAGTGCCCCACTGATATAAGAAAGATACGGACTTAAATGGATGTGATCTCCTGCAGCAAACAAAAAAATCAGCCAAGCACGTCAGAAAACAAAAAGCATGAGTTGAAATTTATAAATTTATTTTTATTTTAACCAGTCAAAACTAAAACTATTGTCTCATTCCAAGTTCCAATTTCTGCCATCTTTAACCGAACAGACAATTTCAAAGTCAGACTAGATCTCATAGAGATCCAAAAAATAATAAATGACAGCAGTGGAAAATACCTAGTGAAAAAATTCATGATGCCTATAAAGTGTGTGGATTTGAACAACAAAGATCAAACACATCCCAAAAAGATAAACAATACGATCATTTAGCAAATCATCCCAGCACAAGAAACACCTCCAACGCTATGCATGTGATTTCAGAAATATACAATGACTAAAAGGGGAGGGGAACATGCACCCTGTGTAATATCTATCAACACATCAAACAGCATTTTCCAGAAGGACAGAAACATTAGAACAAACCTGACTTTGAAGAACCGGAAGCCATCGTCTTCAACTTGTGCAAAACCGTAAATTGTATTGCTGTATATGGCATAACCATAAGCAAGGCTGGGACATTACCCCGCCAAAACCCCTATTATCAAACATGAAGTGATGTGAGTAGGATCTAACAAGAACATTCAGAATTGCTGAAGAGGTGTTGAATAAAAGCGTCTGACATCTTTTGAAGGTATACCCGTAAGCCTTCCTCTCTAAAGATATCCTTGGTCGCTTGCAGCATTCCAGTATATTTTGATGGAGCATACACATCTTTGTGAAGCAATGCCCACTGTGTAGTGGGTTCCAGTTGAACCTGCCAACGGATAACATTATCAAATAAGTTTACAACTCTTCATGTACAGCCACGTGCACTTCAAGAAAAGCACATACATACTCAGAGCAGAAAAATGACACCATAAATGAAATGAATCTGACTGACTAATAAAAAGATATAAGCTACTTAGACAGAGTAAGAACTTGTAAGATTATGGAGATATTCCTCTTGAAGATGTAATTATTGAGAAAATAAACCATCAACTTGAAAGGAAATGTTAGAAACTTTTCATATCATTTTAATTGATGTGTCCTCAAAGTGTTTGTGACAGTGTCCACGTCTATTATGTAAGGCATTTAAAATTTAGTCTCTATTTCCAGTAGTAAAAAAACTAGAGTTTCAAGTAGAATGTTGAGATCTTCGCCATTTTATAGCCATCTTGACTATCATTGTCTACTCTAAAGTCCCATGCTTTGTTCCATTAAACTCACGAGCAGATGAAAAAATATATGGTTCCTAACAAGAAAAATATGCTGCATCCACTCACTTCATTACTTATGTAACACAAAATAACATTCCAAATTGGAACTCATAGTTTGATATGAAAGTTACCCTTACAAATTTTGCTCATTTTCAAGCGATTTTTGCTCCAATCTTCAATCGAGAAAAAGGAAGAGAGTATAAAATATTAGAATCTGAAGCCAGATTCAACCATACATACAGCATATACATGCCTGCATGTGTGTAGAATAGCACCACTATAATATCAGAACTGTGCTACAGTGTGTTTCTTTCCTGAAATTATTAGTTGGACGGATAAAACAAATGCAATTGAGTTGTTATCATTTTGACCCCAAAAAATTAAACCAAGTTACATAATACCACGAATGGAGAATATACCAACATAATCAACCATCCCGGCGGGAGTTATGCATGTGTTCAATTAGCTAAAATTCAACACCTTTAACCAGAATACAATTACAATCCTTTTTCACAAATTAAAACAATAATATATATGCAACAACATCATGAAAAATTAAAACTTGACCTGAAATCTAATCTTAATTACGTCGAGAGGTGATGTGACAGTCCTCGAGATTGCGCCAGATAATGCCCCTGCCGTGGCATCAATCAACGCTCGTTTAAGTTGCCCCGGCTCTTCCATTCCTCTCCTCCACTATACTACAAGAACCTGCAAAATAATCCCTTTTACAAAATCAACTTTTCAATTTTAAAAATCCCAATTCTGCCCCAATTGAGCCCGAAAGCCAGAAAAGAAAACTACCCACGTACCCCAAGTACAACACGTATATATACAATAAGTGCAAGTAGGCAACTTTTCAATAAAATATCTTCTGGGTTTTGCGGAAAATTGGTGAAAAATGAAAAGGGTGTGAGCATAAGCTGAATTGTCTCCAAGAAATGGAGTACACGTTTCAAGATGATACCCTGAATATTACATATTTACATATCCGCACACACAAGCAGACCAATAGAGAATAAGAATTTGAAAACAGAGTCTTCGTATGAAAATAAAAGTAAAGGCACCTTTGAAGAAGAGATGAGGAAGAGAGAGACGGGAGCCGACATTGACAATTCCAGGGTCAAGAGTTATATGCATTATATATGTTTGTATATGTACTGTGTGTATACATGTGGACGAATTTGGATGCTTCAATTTTGGGGTTTTTTCGTAAGTATAATTTAAATTAAAGTCAAAAATTAATTTTAACTACATATTATCTTTTATTAAAATAAAATTTACCATTTTTCGACTATATATTTTATTATCTTTTATTAAAATCTACTAAAATTTTGATTTTAATCACCGTTATAACATGTTTGTTGTACGAGGTTTTGTCATAGTGTTTTGATTTTTATTGAGTTAAATTTCTTAAATTATAATTTTTCGAGCAAAAGTTATAAAAATTCAATCTCGTTCAAAACTTATTAATAAGTTAAAAAATACTTTAATAGAAAATGATTTTGTGATACAATATTTTCATGTAACCTTTAAATCAGGAAAAAAATGGAATTATTAGGCCCTGTTTGATAGCCTAGAAAATCGGTGGAAAAAGAAAATGTTTTCCAACTTTAGCCAATTAAGGGTTTTTGATAGCACAAATTAGTCTGACTTTTGTTTTTCTCACATTTTTNCTTTTGTTTTCCCCACCTTTTTTCTAGGTACAACAATTTGATGCACATTTCGTCGATTTTGTTTTCCCACCTATTAGGTGGGAAAGCAATTTCCACCTTTTTTTTTTTTTGCATTTTTTTTAGGAATGGCAACAAATTCTATCATCCATTATAAAAAGAATTTTCACTTTTGTTGACAAATTTTATACAAAACAAATTCAAACGAATGTTATTCGGTATGATAATTTTTTTAAAAAATTCTTTTTTAACTTTTTGGTAATTGGAACAAATTCTAGACGCATTGGTAGAAAAAATTATCACTTTAACGGACGATTTCCATAAAAAACGAAGCCTAACGGATACCAAACTTTCAACATTTTTCAGGTGGAAAATTATATAAATCAAACACAATTAATTACAATATTCAGTAAAATATTTTCTTTCCACATATTTTCCACCTTTGCAATCAAACAGATTCTTGTTTTACAGGGAATTGATTTTCTTAGAAAATGTTTTAATGTGAATTGTAATTAATTGTGTTTAATTGGTATAATTTTTCATGAAAAATGTTGAAAGTTTGGTGTCGATTTGGATTCTTTTTTATGGAATCTATCCATTAAAGTGATAATTTTTTCTACCATTGGGTCTAAAATTTGTTCCAATTGTAAAAAAAAATTTATCATACCAAATATCATTCGTTTGACTTTGTTTTGCATGGAAGTTATCAATAAAAGTTAAAAAAATTTTTACCGTTGTATCTAAAATTTGTTCCCATTGCAAAAAAAATCAAGCTTTTGTGTATCAAATGATTGCATTTTGAAAAAAGTGGAAAATATTTTGCCAGCAAAATTTGTGCTATCAAACACCTTTAATTGGCTAAAGTTAGAAAATGTTTTCATTTTCCACTCATTTTCTAGGCTATCAAACGGACGCTTAGAGTTTGTAAAAGATCTAGTAATATGTTTTGGACATACAATACAGTTGACTTCATTTAATAAATAGGCTTAGTGAACATTATAATTTGTTCTATTCAATTATATGAATGTATAATTTAATTGTAAATGAAAAATAGAAATTATATGAAAGAATAGAACCACAACTTAATAAATAGTTACATAGTACTCGATAAATAGTCAAGTTGGAATTTTACCCGCCCAAACGGTAAATCGGTCTACCTGAATTGACTCGATCGATATGGAATAAGTTCGTGGCTTAGTGGTGTCGATATTTGGATTGGCCTAAACCCAATCCAACCCAACCCGAAACCTTTGTTTGGTAATTTTTATTTTTTGAAAATTTGAATGTGTATCAAACAGGGGCTTAAAATTCAATTTGAAAGGACTCAATTGATTTGGGTTGATCTCGGTTCTGATTTTCACCCAACATGACCTGCATCCACCCCTAACAAGCTTATATTTGTTTGCCTATAAAACAAAACTCTTTAATTTTCATAATCATTTTTAACTACACATTTATACATTAAAATATTTTCCATGTAAATTCAAACAAAATTCCTACTTTTTAAGAACATTCTCCGAAAATTCATCATTCAAAACTTCATTTTTTTTCAAAATAATGGCCATCAAACAGTGATTAAATAGTCTCTCAGGAAAAAATCATAAATACCTGAATAATATATACTATTTTATTTTCTGCTACCCAATTGTTTTATTAAAATCCCTATGTGACTGTATATGAAACTTCCCTTATTGGATGAGTAACTGAAAAATTCCCACTGTCAAGGAAAAAAGGTGACATTAACTCCATATGCTGAACATATAGAGATTCACAATTCAAACAGCATATGATTACTCATAATCGCTCATTGTGAAAGAATTGATGCGGTAATGTCTTCTCTGTGCGTGCAACCAGAACTTTGATTCAGCAGATTTATCTTCTTCGTCAAGTATGTGGAACTTGTTGGCATCGTAATAAATAAATTGAAGATGGATGGATGTCAAGTCTGGAAATTGAGTATGTCGAAATTTATTAGCTTGGTATATGTTGACTGATCATCATGTACCTTCCAGTTTGCAGTTGTATTGAATGGTTTGTACCCCAAGATTTGGATCAATGGACTAGAGGGAATTGGTCAGGTTGATGCACAGGAGGAAAAATTTGGAGCTTTCATCTGAGGTGAAAAGCGATGGTTTTTTTTTTTTTTCAAGGCTGAACGAGTGAAATTGCCCGATTTTAATAGTTTCCAATTTCCTGAATTTCTGATAGCATTCCCCTTATCTTACCTAGAGGAATTTCACTGTAAATGCCTGCATTGGATTTACCTTTGGATTAACTTAACTTTGCCAACTGGCCTAAATCATCAATGTTTTCTTAAGTCTTGATTTCGATTTTCATTAGTACGAGTTATTCACAAAAAAATTGTTAAGGGATGAAATCTCACATCGAATAAAAATGAAAACATAGACCAATTTATAAGAGTTTGAGCTACTCATCTTAAAAAACTGACTTTTTAAGATGGAACCCCAAATCTAACATGGTATCAGAGTCATTAAACTCCAATGAGCAATTCGTTCCGATTAAGACTCAAAAAAATTGAGCCCACGGATTTCAAGATCGTCCGCTCAAACGAGCCACCATCTTGCGGGGGCATGTTAAGTGATAAAATCTCACATCGAATAAAGATGAAAACATAGATCAATTTATAAGAATTTGAGTACTTCTCTTAAAATGTTGACATTTTAAGATGAAACCTAGATCTTAACAAACATAACTGTCTACATAAATTTGCACATAATCGATCTTCTTACCATCTCTCCCACATTAATTGACCAAAGAAATTCATGAATTCCTTTTCCTTCGCATTTTTGAGGAATTGATAAGTGGTTCTTTCATCTATGGTTTTATCTCAAAACAGGCGGCAACAGTAATGTGACGAAAATTGTTGTTTTGGTGGGAATCTTCTGTCTAAGTGCTTCAATCTGGCTCGGCAGGCGCAAAATGTAATTCAGAGGTAAAATTCTACTGTATAATTAGTACAGACTTAAAACTTAACCATAGAGATATAAACTTCTAACATTCTTGTTTAACTATAGACCGTTTAGCCAAGAACAACAACGAAATCCCAAAAGTCAGTCCAAGTGGGGAATTTTCCAGCGAATTTTCTGGATCGAGTGACCTTAGTGTTGAAGGGCCACCGGGAACTGGAACTGAATTTTCCATCTTCAATTTTGACTAATATGTTACAGATGGGAGGGTACACGATGAATGAAAATATTTGTAAGATTATATGTGCAGTAGAATACACGGGGATCCCATTGGGATTCTTATAGCAAGAAACTTTCTGCCTATTTATTGAAGATGTTCATGTTGCATTAGGCGACTGAACATATTTTATAATCCGCCCGCAAAATCAAACAATTTCAAGAAATGAGCAAACGTACAAAATTCGAACATAAATATTCCATAATTCATCGTAATATCAAGGACAAACAAACATTGAGATTACCGATCACAGCCCAAAGATATCATCTTAAATTATTTACATTTGAAAAAGCTCACGGGAATGCCAACTAAGTTGCAAAACTAAAGTTCAATACATCCTTTTGTAAGGAACTTTCTGAAAATATTTGCACTATGTGAACAGAACCATTAGACGAGCAAATCGTTAATCCTGCTAAGATTTGCGTATTGGTGGCTACTCACTTCGATTCCTCCAAGAAACAAGCAAGAAAAGTTAAAACTGCAAAAACAGAGCTCCCTCATCATATACTCCTCATAGACATGTAAGTTAGGACAAATTGTGTTGCATCATGACACAATAATGGAGTAGCCTCGATTTTCAGAGGACCTGCCTGCCCCGTCCTTTGAGTTTGCAATGGAGAAAATCACAGAATGAGATGATGTAGTCGATCTGCAATGAATGAAGATTTCTTGGAATTGATTCTTGATTTTTTCTTGATCTCTGTTGCAATGGAGAGGATGAAAGTTGGGGACATATGATTCACTTGGTAACTAGTTATTTATGATACATTTATTACATCATTAGAAAACATAAATACCTGCTAAAATACTTTAATCCGTTAGTTGAATTTGGTTAATTTTCCAACAAAATCGATTCAAGGAAAGATGACCTTCTTAGCCCTAAATAATATTAATTGGACGATCTATGAACTGTAAATACAATGATGATATTAACGTCCAAAAGTATTTTTTTTTAACATCGGTACTTAAGTACTTTTATATATGTTAACAAATATTCTTATCGATAGAACTACAGATAATTCCCAACCTTACCCAAAAAAAAAAAAAAAACTCTTGGTTTTTTATGATAAATGACCATAGAAAGTCGTAGTTTTTTTTTTTTTGGTGGAAAAACAATTATATTAATTTAATTAGGACAATTTAGGAACTAAAAGGCGAAAGAATAGTTCGCTTTGTGCTCACCGCACGGCTGCAACAATCTAGGAACTATAAATACAATGATGATGTTAGCGTCTTAAAGTATGTTTTTAACGTTGGCACTTTTATATATGTTAACAAATATTCTTATTGATAGAACTACGGATAATTTCAAACCTTAAAAAAAAAAAATGTTACTGGTTTTTGGCGAATAGTTTCCAAGTGATTGACCATAGAAAGTCACAGTTTTTTGTTGAAAAAACGGTTATATTCTGTTTTATTTTTTGTTATTGTTTCCTTTTCTTTCATTTCTCATTTATATATTATTTTTTTATTGAAGGTAGGCGTTTATTCATTTTACCATTCAAGCAGTAATTCACTTGCGTTGCACTTGACTTCTTCAATGGTCAAATGAACGGATATCGTATACCAATGATCACAACTCACAAGTACTGAAACTTAAAAAATCAAAAATAACAAAATGGATAAAAGAATGGATATGCATATGTCAAATAATATAATCTATAAGGTGCAATTTGTTATTTCTTACAAGCCAAGTTAGTTCGGATAAATCTACAAAAAGTTTTCAGACGAAAATCGTTGTCATGACAATGGCATTGATGGTCTTGGTCAGGTTGGATCAGCTCAATGGACCATACCTTCACGAGGGAGAAGGCATGATGAGACCACATTTGCACGTGTGTGTGTTTGTTTACACACACACACACACAAGGGAATCTAGTAGCTTTTGCAATTTCTTCTTATACTGCACATTATTGTCAAAGTTTGTAGGCATAAAGAAGTGTGTGTTCAAGTGCATGTTTGGGCTATCAGAATCAGTAGACCCTTTCTTTTTTAGGTCCTAAAAACTGACCAAATTCTTCAAATTTGAATATTGCCATTCACAAAGTTGATGAAAAGACAATACAACTTTGTTAACTACAATGACTACCAGAATTTCGCACTTTTTACTATGAAATATTGAAATTTTCATTCCACACATCGTTCAAACCAAGTAGCATATTCATGTATTGAGCAATTTGATCAACAGACCAGTGTTGCAAAGAATATCTTGAGCTCACATTGATCGTAGGTTAAGAATATTCAATTACTCCTTATAAGATGGGGATCACACATTGCTTGTTAAGACAAAATGGGCTAGCAAGAAAAGCCTAGTATTAGGCCAACCAAGAGGACCACTCCAAACTTGGCACCGTGGTAATAAACATGTGTTGCATAACAGTAAATTTAACTCGTATGCCTATCTCAACTTGATAATCTCGAGTAAAAATTTTGGGCAAAGATAGCTTATAAAGAAATGTGTCCACGAAACTAGGGTTAGCTCAGGCCCATAAGTGGGCTATTTAGAAAGTCACATATAGATCAACTTAATTGACATTACTATACAAATATCAAGTCGTGGTCCTAGAAAAGTCTGAAAACAAGAGATCCCAATATCTGCTCTCAAAAAAAAGATTCCCATGATGGGGTTATAACAATGAATAGGATAATATATAAAGATATTAGATTCTACTCAATCCAATTACATACACTTCCAAACGAGATCGAATGACCCCACCCCACCCCACGAAGACACCCTTCCCAGAATGCATCCTTAGACTTGTCCTAGGTGGACCCTATTAACTATACAATGAAAGCTAAATTTTGATACTACGACCATACTAACATTAGCACTTCCTATATAAACACATTCACTCCATATCTTCAATAATACCTGTAACCCACAAACCAGCATCTACTACAAACATGTCTGGTGTTTGGGTATTCAAGAATGGCGTGGTTCGAATAGTAGAAAACCCGGGGGACTGTCAAGGCTCCTCCATTGGTCATCGAAAAGTGCTAGTGCATATCTCTAGTAACGAAGTCATTACATCGTATGCAGTTCTCGAAAGGAAACTATCATTGTTAGGGTGGGAGAGGTATTATGATGATCTTGAACTTCTGCAATTCCACAAGAGATCTACAGTTCACCTCATTTCACTCCCCAAAGATTTCAGCAAGTTTAAGTCCATGTACATGTATGATATTGTGGTCAAGAATAGAAATGAATTTGAAGTTAGGGACATGGAGAAAATTGTTTGCTTTTCTTAGACTCCACTTTGTGACCGTGTGAAAAATGTTAGTTATTTTTCTTATTTAATACTGTTCAACATATTTTACTAAACACGTCCCAATGTCTTTTCCTTTGGGTTTTGGGTTCTTAGCTTGGTTTGATGTTCTTTCTTGGGGGAAGACGATGTGCATATTCTAGGACATCTTTCTTATTACTTTGGAATTTTTATAGCCAATAACATCGATTTATAAATGCACACGATATGTTGATATCGAGATTCTTAAGAGCACTCGATAAGATTTGGAGCTCATTTTTAAGTCAGAAGAATGCATCTTATTACCGTTATTGTACCAAAATCAGCCCTTTTTTTTTGAATTTCCTCTCATAGTTGGGACCCACTTAGAAGACTAACAGTCATTTTTTTCCTATTAATGAGTTGCAAAATGAGTTCCAAACAAGGGCTTGGCTTAATTAAGAAGCATTGCTTACTGAAATGTTTATGCTAAAATGTATTTCTAAGAAATAGGTAGACTTATCACATTGCCTTAGTTTAATAGGGATGGTTATTGCACCTTTTAGACAAGCGGTAAGTTTTTAGTCATTCAATTGGACGCTAGTTGAGACTTGAGAGTACCTTGAGACTTTTGTGTCAAAACTAAATTGTTCGAGTACTTGATTTGTGGATAAGTTGACTATGGCTACAAACGTGCTAGTCATGCTTTGTCAATTTATATTTCTTAAGTCGAGCGTTCATTTTTCTTCTTAATAAGTAAAGCTAAAACAAGCAAGCTAGACATCTTTGCTCTCTAACAAATTTCAGTCAATACATTGCCCTAGCAAGCTCGACCGTTTTCGAGGGACGAGATCCTTTTTGGCTCGAGTTCAGTTTCACGAGCTCAAATTTATTAAGGGCCTGTTTGAAACCCGGTTTTGACACCAATTCTATTTCTGCTACAGTAACCAAAGACATGTGTCATTTGCTTTTGCAATCTCTTCACCACATGAGTGGGACCTAGGTAATAAAAAATGCAATGTCCTCAAGCAATGTTGATAACCTGTAGCTTGACACATTTGACTTTTCATTCCCATGGTAAAGTCTTTTCCCAAGTTTGCCCCCCAACTTGTACATTACGTGGCCACAATTCAGTTTTGACGTGAAAACGTGAGGAAGCTATTTTCTATTGAATTGGGTTGCACGAAATGATGAAAGCGAAATTTGAGATTATGGAATCCGTAAATGTAACACGCGGAACAACAGTTAGATGACCTGGTCGAAAATAAGTAACGAGTTCGCATACATCGGTAAGAAAATGAATATGAATACATTACGCCCCCCCATTCAAAACGGCAGCGATAAGAAACGCTTAACGTAATGCCTGCGCCATGTAATCGCGTAGTTGTAGCCACGGGATGTCCTCTTCGACCACTGCATCGAGTTCGGCGGCCATTTCATCTTCTGCATCAGGTAAATCTATCTCGACTTCGTCGTCATCTAATTCTTCAGCTCTACGAAAACCCTCATCCAGCCTACCGTTTCTCCGAAGGAAATTATGTATACCCATTGTAGCCACAACCACAGCTGTTTGCGCTCTCATATTATACGCCGGCATTCGATCAATTATCTTCCATCTCTGTTTCCAAACACCGAACGCACGCTCAATCACGTTGCGGCATGATGAGTGATGGAAATTGAACCGCTCTCGTGCATTTCGGAACCGACGACGATGTCCTGCCCTCGCATTGCCGAACTCTTGAAAATGATATCTGATATCAGAGCCCTTATACGGAGCCATGTACCCAGGCCTATGTGCGAAACCAGAGTCCACCAGGTAGTATTTACCGTTCGCGGGTTGGGGAAAATTGACATCCTGACTGTGCACAGCACGGGCCAAAATGCGGCTATCGTGGGTGTTTCCGGTTGTTCCCGGCAGCACAAACGTAAAACAGAGATTGAAGTCACAGGCGGCCAATACATTCTGGGTTGGAATCCCCTTTCTTCCAATATAATTCTCTCTTACATTTCGTGGCAGTACGGCTTGCACATGGGTTCCGTCGATCGCACCTATGCAATCCTGTAATAATTAAATGTATCAACACATCTTCGATTCATGTACACAGGGCATGTTATACCGTCTATAACGTTAAGTACATAACCTGGAAAAGAGGATATCGTTCCCTATCCGGATGATGATGAGGAGCCCCTTCGTTGTAACGCTGATCTGGTTTAATCATGGTTGCCGCGAACGCCACGCATGCACGCAAAACCGTCTTAAAGTAATGACTGATCGTCTGCAGCGAATGACCGAAAAGCGTTTGGACTTGACGATATCCTTTGCCGTGTGCTAGAATGCACAAGAACATTCCCACCTGTTCGTATATGTCAATGTTCGTGCTGCTAGAAATTCCGAACGAGTCGCGAAGAATGTGCGTGAAATACATAAACATCGGCGGGTACATCCTAAACTCCTGAAAACACGTATGCGGATAGACGTGCAAATTTTGTAGCATGAAAACGTGGCCGCATCGCTCTGTCGGGAATAGAAATCGACGTGCTCGATTACGTGCCAAGTACTCGCGAACTATTCCCTCGGCGATTCTACAGTACTGAAACCAAGTGATAATGTCAGCATCCATTTGGTCCATCACATCTTCATCAGACATCGTGTCTGCATCTGACATCGAATGAATGTCGCAGTCTGTTTCTGATGATGCGTACGCATCCGAACTATCGGACATCTTTTCGAACTTGTATCCGTTATGGAGAAATTTCAAATATTTGAGTTTCGAATAGTTGTGGCAAATTGAATCGAGTTTCTAACATGAAAAAGGCTGCACGATGTGTAGAAAGAATGTCGCAGTCGACGTTGTGAGACGTGAAAAAAATGTCGTTCGCATTACAAGTTGCAACTTATATAGAACTACAAGCGCATGAGCAATAATTTGACCTTACAGTGGTTGTTCAATAATTGATATGCCGTTGTTTGTTTTACTCCACCCCCTTTCGGCGTGGTTCAAATTATATGATGGGAATCTTTGTTGCAGTACATTTTCAACTTTCTTTAGTAGACAAAGTCATGCAAAAAAGGACTCTGTCACAACCATCATTCCCAATTTTTCAACAAAGGACTCTGCAATAAAGTGACATTCCAAGTAGAAAAAGGAAAATTTGCCTGCAGTCCATTCAACCTACATTGACTAGTACGTACGCATGCAAAATTTTAAATCATGTTGCACATCAAAATTTTCAACAAGATGATGAATCTAACTGGTCTTCCATGCTATTGCACACAAGTAGAAAATGTGCTTGCATCCGAGGTACGATTCGGGAATATATATTACAACACAAATTCTAATGTCATACGTTACACGATGTTTTCAACTAATAGAGAAACGAAGTACGCGGTATGTACACAGTCTTGTAGAGAAAAGTACGGAATAGTAATTAAAAAGTCATCACAACCATCCGATGCGCATTCTCACTCCTTACGGTTAATGGAAGCATTGTCTCGCTCGAAACAGTACTCGATGAATTTAAATTTCGTAAGAGGTGTCTTTGCAGCACAATACGAGGTACGATTGTCTTTGTCTCGTAGGAACCATAGGACGAAAAGGTGGAGTCGATCACCTTCCTGAACAAGGCCAGACGACAGAAGCTCGTCAACGCATTCGCTGACTGTCATTCCCGCCTTACGATGCGATCGCGCAATTGAAGCGAGATCCGTTCCGACACTTGCCAACTGCTCAAGGGAAGCCGAAACCTCCCTCGCACCGTACATTTTCTTCTTCGACTTTCCCTTCCTGTTTTTGTTTTTTCTTTTTTCCCCACTACTTCGGCCAGATATGTTCATGGAGGAAGCAGCACGACCCTCGACTGGGCTGCCACTGGAATCTGTGGCCTCCGCGTTAATGGGGAACTTGTCACCTTCGTACTCCCTGTCGCTATCTGTTCCCAGATCGAAGCCACGCTGCGACAGCTTGGTTGGGGACAACGCATATTTCGTTGAGTCACCAGTGTCGCCGAATAATCTGCCGTACGTGTCATAGATCTCGCTACAGTTGATGTTTCTGTACTTTGCGTACTTAGGGTTCTCCTGCACGGATGACAAAGATGACAAATAACATTCGAAACGAAATGAAGTAATGACTGCTGCATTTACATGCATCCATGAGTTCATAATATTAAGTCCGGTGGGGAATGCAAGGGAAGCATAAATATTATACTACTTGTTGTCACATAAAAGTCATGCAATTGGGAGATGCAATGAAACGAGTACAACGACATTGTGCCTATATCAGTTGCACAGGATGACTAATATTCCAGAAACGCACTTGAAGGTTACATTAATCTGATGGAGTCCAACGTGCAATCCAATACCATGTTATCGTACATTACCATGGAAAGTTTCAATGATGCAAGCGAACGATTACCTTAATTTTCGCTTCCCACCAATGGTCCGGGGCGTGAATTCTTCCTGTACCCGATCGGTACTCAATTCCAGTGCATCGCAACAACTCGAAAAGGCATTTGTGATCCGTTCTCAATTTATTCCAGTAGTTCTTCATCTGCGATACTGTCCAATCCTTCCCCGTAGAGGCATTGAACATGGCTGCTATACGACGCCATCCTGTCGAGGAGAAGCATTTGCCTCGTCGATGGCCTTCAGCTACAACTAATTCGCAGGTCTCGATGAATACTTTGTGCTCTGCCTGGTTCCACCTCGCTGTCTTACGCACTCGGGACGAGTTTGCCTGCGTGTGTGACGGAGCAGATGGCAACATGTCGGGGCTCCCACTTGCGAACCACTGCCATGGGAAAATCGGTGTTAGAGTAAGTGTATACTGCAATTACAACGGAGTCCATTCCATGAAAAAGTTGTGTGTGCAAATATTTGGACAGGGGAAATCGAATGAGGCAACCAAGTGATAAAATGTCTGAAAACATGAACCAAAATTTTCAATTGGTAAGACCGGCGGTGGGTACTGACTGAGTAATGACCAATGTCGGTAGCGCAAGACAAGTGCCCGTGTAAGTGGAAGTCTCAATTCATCATATTTGCAATCTCTACACTGTGAGCACATAATTTTTCTAATACGAATTCAACCCATGTGCACAACATTACTGAAAATGAATTCGGTAGCAAAGTCACACAGAAACGGTATCCGGAAATGCACAGTTCGAAGAGTGCCTTACCGTACGGTCGGGGGAGCTCGGCCACGGGGAGAAGTTGTGGTCCATGATAGCCGGTCAGAAATTGATGGTGGATGCCGGATGTGAACCCTTTTGCAGCTCCAGATCGATGTGTACAACCCCTCTGTTGTAGGGAAAATTCAAGTGTGTGACGGTAGTCGGACACGGTGAAGAGGGAAACGTTCGGTTGGGTGTTCGGTGGGCAGCTAGTGAACGAACCCGTAAGCCTACTGGATTTATCGCCTGATCTGGTTTCGTGGCTGATTGGTGGTGAAAATTCCGGTGGCTTTCAAGAATTTCTTCTCGGGTTAGGCAGCTAGCGCTCGAACCCGTAAGCCTACTGGAGTTATCGCCTGAGCTGGTTTCGTGGCTGATTGGTGGTGAAATTGCCGGTGGCGTTCAAGAATTTCTTCTCGGGTTGAAGCAGTAGGTGGAGAAGAAGCCGCTGCCAATGGGGGCAAAACCGGGAAGATAATACAACGGGTAGATCACCACAATTCTGGGTCCTCTGCCGGTGTTTTTGACTTTTGGGGAGGGTTGTCAGGGTTGCACTGTTGGGAAATTCGTTTTTGTAGAAAAAAAGGGTTTCAAACAGGGGCTAATAACTCAATGGGTTAATTATTTCATGTGTAATTCTCAACTACAACAAAATAGAATTGAAAATTTCTTTTATCATATCATACCAAAATCCTCCAACAATAAAAGCCTTTGTTTGAGCTCAATTAAAATCAAATTTTGGGGAAAAATATATTATGAAAATAATGATTTTTTGAAAAATATGTTGTTAGAAAAAAATATTGTTTTAAAAATTTACATGTAGTTGAAAAGATGAAAGAAAAATTGCATATGTCCAGATTTTGCCACGTTAAACATTGTTAATAAACGCTGTCAACAAACCTTATCAACCATCATTGTACAAGTAAATTATTCTACGAGAATGGAGTCCAAATAGGGGAAATTATAGAATCCCTCAACATTGAATTAGCCCGCCCAAATACATCAAAATCCACCTAGAACTCAAAATTTTGAAATTCAATTTTAACTTTTGTTTTTGTCCCATGTTTATGTCTTCCATTAATAAACTCAGCTAAAATAAATAAACTCATCTGCACTCAAAAATCTCCGCAAGAACCCCTGTTCCCCTCTAAAGAAAAAACCCAGATCCAAATTCAAATTCAAACCTCCATATCCAACTCATCCGATGGAAAACTCCGATTCTACCGCCTCTGTTCCTCCGCCTGCTCCTCTCTCCGTGGTATTTCTCCTTTTTTTCTGTATTTGTCGTATAAGAGTTTTCATGTAATCCCATTTCTATTTTGTAATTTTCATTTGGTATTTGAAATGTGAGTGCTTTTATTTCTTTTGCTGCTTATTTATGTGATCCCGTTTATGTTTTTTTTTTTGGGATTTTCATGTGGTATATAAAATGGGATTGTCATTTGATATATGAAAGGTCACTACTTTATTTCTTTTTCTAGGTGTTTATATAATCTCCACTTTTATTCTATTAATTTTAACTTATTTATCTGTGTTTATGAAATCCCCGTTTTATTTTTTTAATTGTCATCTGATATATGAATAGGGAAATTTATTTCTTTTACTCTGTGTTTATGTAATCCCATTTTTGTTTTTTTATTGTTAGTCTATATATAAAATGGGAGTATTTAATTTCTTTTGTGACTTTTTTTTTTCGATTTTTGCAGAAGAAAGAGAATGTGATGCCGATCAACCCTAAGATTGCAGTATGCTCAATGCTTTATTTTAAATTTTTTCCTGCTTATTGTTATACAAAGGAACCCATATAATATGTACAGAGAAATGAAGCGTCATGCTTAGCTTATGCTAAGCACCGCGACATTGAACATCAATGCATTGGCGGATGAATTTATTGTGGGACTCGAGATCTGTATTAAACTTGTTAGCCAATGGATAGATGTGCCATGTCAGTGGTGCTTAACATGTAGTGCTTAGTAGATTATTTCTTGATATATATGCATTTAAAGTTTTATAAAAAAAAATATACATAAAGAGTGTACCTTTGTAATTTGTTCTTGTAGATTTTGTGTTTTTGAATTGTAGATGAAATGTTAGAATGGTTTACAGGAATTGACTGAATCGCGGCAGGAGCTTCTCACTAGAATACAGAAATTAAAAGAGGTGATTTCATTTAATTCGTGTGCAATTCGTGTTCATTCCAATTGATTTAATTAGCTTTTTATTTCTTAATTTATCATATTGATAAAAGTATTTAGAAAAATTAATATAAAGTGATTCAAATTGATTTAGCCCCTGTTTGGAATATATTAAGGGCCCGTTTGATTCTCATTATTATAGAATAAGAATGAAAAATATAGTCGTTATTGGGCCCACACAAGAGATAGAAATTCAAAATTGATGGTTTGATGTGATGGATAACGGTCATATTTTTTATTTTTATGGATGAAAAATGAGAAATAAACGGGGGCTAAAATCAAATTTTAGTGTCTGTCTGATCTCATTTTAATGAAATTTGTCCATTTCTTTTTTTGCTGCAACCGTGGGACCCCCTTGTCATACAATGTCGTTTCGTGTCCATTTTAAAGAAAAAGTGTTGACTCTACAAGGGGCGATGACACTAGTAATTTCAACTTTCCAAATTAACCTTCAATTCGGTGTATTGCCATTTACCCCAAGTTCATAATTGAGAGGTCATTTTGGTAAATGGAGGATGAGGAATTGCACTATTTTGGACTATATCTTTTTCAACGGCTTTTTCCCCATTCTAAATGCTCTGACACGTGAAGAGGAAAATGTCATCATCAGAGTCAAGAGTCTACTGTTTAAAATGCAAAATCTAATTTTAATGAGTTCCCAACAGAGGCTTAATGAGATTTTGCATTATTATACTATAGAAATATGATTTTAAAAATGATATTACATTGTTAACATGTCAAAGCATTTAGAAGTAAAAAAAAGTTGTTGAAAAGAATATGGTTCAAAATACCCCCTTTCTCGAAACTTGGTAGATTGCACTACATTGAATGGATAAATAGGGAAGTTGAAAATTAATATTGCCATCATACCTTGTCCAGTCAACATATTTTTCACACGTAGCTGAGTAAAATTTCTCCAATCGACAGACATGGACAAGGTGGTCCCACGGTGGTAGCAAAATGAAATTGGAAAAATCTCATTAAAATGGGGATCAAACATATGCTTAATTAGCCATTTAATCAATTCGTGTTTGGTGTAGCTAAAAATTAATTTTTTAGTATATTTTGATATAAAAATGATGAAATATATGTTGAAAAGTTGTGTGTCTCATAAAATGTTTCGTTGAAATTAATTGTTGACTTTTACTTAGATTTTTATCAAGATTTTAAGCTACATCAAAACATGGGCTAAATGTTATATTGATTTATTTAGCATATATTAGCAGGTGTTTAGAAACTGTTTATAAATGGTAAAAAATGTTAAATTAGATTTTATCCACACATTTTATAGGTAAGAACTACTAACTTATCCACCATCCATTTTTATCCATTTATCAACAAAACTGTTTATGAGCACTTCCTAAACAAATGCTTAGACTTGAATAGTCATCATTTTTATGGCAGAAAGCATAGCTCGTTCATTAACTTCTTTCTAATTACTTAGGATCTTCAAGGTTGGAGGACGAAGTTAGACACTCAAGTTAAGGTCTACCGTGATGTAAGTATTAGTTATGTCTTAGACGTATTTTTTCTAAATATTAATTACATATTTTAATGCCCTTGAAATGGTTAATTTGTGCACCCCCCCCCTCTCACCATTCTTCAGTGGTATTAATATGAGAAATATCTAAGGCACAATTCATGCAATTTTTTTATGCACAACTTGAAGTTTTTCTTCTTGGTGTCTCATACGGATGGATTCCTCCCCTCAGGGGAAATCTTTGACTTGACTTTAGAAGCTTTGGCATCACTAGGCACACTGATATTTTAAAGGTTGGGATGTGTAATGTGAATCTAATCTGTTATGAAAAGAGAGGGCCTCTATTGCAGGTTTCGGTATTGAAATTTCAAGTACCACAAAATGAGTGCTTGTGACATCCAAAGTTCTCTTATTAGACTGTGCTACCATTATTCCAATACTATCTCGTTCATGTTAAGTTTTTCTCCTAAGCTACGTATAAAAGTGAGAATTCTTTTACTTCCAACAAATAATTATGCCCCATGTTTGGTGCATATTCTTTAAAATTCATTTTTTTTACAACTCATTTTAACCATACATTTTCTAATAAAATAATTTTACACGTGGGTTCATAATTTTTCACTACTTCTTAATCACACATTCTCCAAAAAGGTCATTTTTCACAAAATCTATTCTCAAAAAATCTACATCAAAGTGGCCCTATGTTTCATATTTGAGTTAAATTTTTATATATGACATTTGAAATCTAAGTTCACTTGTATTTATCATGCCCCCATAGCTAGTTAATGACAACTGAAATATGATATATCCTATCCAATACCTATGTAGTATAATACGTAAGTATTTTAGTAACTATTATACTGTGAGAATTGGTATAACACCGGTATGGAAATATAATTATTGAGTGCCGTATGTACCAAGTGGTTTACTCTTTGCATAAATTAGCGAACTATTGATGAAGATAATACGCTAATTCTTCCTTTGTCGTATTATTCAACCTTCATTGTGCATTATGCATCACATATGCCTTGGTATGTGATATTATTAGAGATGCATCTGATGTTTATTAAAAAAAAGTTACAATTGTTGATGAAAGTTTCTTTGCACACCTATGGCATGTGTGGTAATGAGAATTGGATAGCACTAATTAATGAACAAAGATTGTTGAAGACTTGAACCTTGTTGCTTATACTATCCACACCTTTGTGGGTATTGTGTACAAACATGCACGTAAATGTCTTATTGGGAAGAAAACTTGGTTTATTTTTTTTCTTATTTTCATATTGGATGTCCGAAGATGTTTGACTCACGCGTGGCGAGTATTTGAAAAAGTGTAGTACATACTTTCTTCATGATAGACAATCTCTATAGTATTATTGATGGAGTCCATTATAATTCAATTAAGGATTTCTCAGTTGTGATTCTCGGCTCCCTTGGGGTTGTAGCAGAGGTTATTGAAACTTCTTTCCCATTACCTGGCGTACAGTACTACTACTTGTAGCAGGGTACTGACACAATCAAGCATGTTTTTCACTTATAGATGATGTCCTATTGTCTTTGACACTTTTGCAAGTCGTGTTTGTGCTCTTTATACACCGACTACAGGAGGCATATGCTATCTTCTCCATGTACTGTTTTCCTAAGATAACTGTCTAGTCCCTGATATCTTCACTTTGGAACTTTTCTCTGTTCCTAAGGCCTTATTTCCTTTTTATGTTTTAGTCCCTGCCTCGTGATTTAATTGCTTTTTGGCTTACTCCAGGAACTTTCAGAGCTTAAGAACTCCCTAAATACTGAAGTAGAGCAACTTCGATCAGTGAGTAGCCTCCTATAATTTCATTGTTTCTAGTCGAGATTACAATTTCAGAGTTTCTAGTTGAGACGATCTTTATTTACTTGTTTGATTGATGAATGAAGGATTTTCGAGAACTGAAGACCACTCTTCAGCAGCAGCAGGAAGATGTTACAACTAGTCTGAGAAACCTAGGGGTCGGTTTCCTTATGCTTTCACACTACGGCTATTTTGTTGAGCAAAATTCAAATTGCCTCTAATGTTCAGCTTTCAAATGTTAGTTTCAAGTTCTCAATTTTATTTTTCTTGAATTCTGTAGCTGCAGGATGTTTCAGCAGAAGCCAAAGAGACTGAAGTCCCCATTGTTGAAAAGACTGATGAAAAAGCTCAAGACATCCCAATAGGCGATAACGGTAAAGAAATTGAGTAAATCAAATTTCGCTTAACGATCAATTTAAGGAACGAATCCATCTGGGGTTGGTGTCTCATGTCTTGTACGGGGATGACAAATTGTGGCAGTGAAGAAGATGAAGCTATCATCTTTAATCAATTGTTACCAAATTACATATTAGCTTGGCTGTTTCCTTTGTCGATTTTTGTATCCGATGCATAAAACTAATTGAATTATTGAGAAATCTTAGATATCAAGACTTTTAAGAATGAGAATCTTATGAAATGTTCGATTACTATGTTTCCATGAGATTTTATTTTTGTGTTGACTGATGGTTCCTTCATGGATTTTTGTAGCTGATGCATATGTTTCGGATGGATATGTGATAGTCACCTTAAAAGTGTGATATTTGAGAAAGAGTACTAGTACATAAAATAAATTGGAAATGTCCAAAAAAAATATATATAAAAAATCTATATATAGTATTAGTTCGAAGCCTTGATCATACGTTCATGTTATTGAAGTATAAGAATTGAAGCATGAAATTATGTAAATTTGTAGTTGTAGCTCATAATTAAGTTAAATTTTTTTTGTCAAAACTCACTTACAGTCGATAATAAAGCGCTAACCCAATCTAATTTTCCAAATATTTTGTTCAAAAGTTTCATACAAGTGTATGCAAAGATTCCTTAAGGTTTTCAATTTTTCTTTATAAAAATAGGATATATTTGAAGCTTCTGAAAAGTTTTCGAAGAGTGCCGATTTTCGATATGTGCTCGAAATCGAACCGCCAGTGCCTTTGAAGTGAAACAGAAATATATAGTCACTCTAAAGTAATTTTTGTGCTAAACGGGTTGGTCATTTTGCAGCAGAAGCTACATATTGTCTTCTTTTGCTGAAAGAAGCACAACCGAACATGCTGTTAAACATATTCGGCACAAAATTACTTATACGTAACTTTTATACTTAATCAAATTGACTCGAAATGTCGCGGTTTCCGATGCCTTTTCTCTGCATGTCGTGAAAATGATGGCTGTCTTTCATCAATCATATATCATCCAACTGCGTTTATACTCAAAGTGGGAACTGAAAGGCCAAATGGCCCAAATCCCATTTTCTAAGCTTCAAACATTAATGAGGCAAGTGATCGCTCTATGCTGAATTTGCTTGGAGCTATGGAAGTTTTTAATGCAAAATTCTGAATTGTCTTGTCTATGCCAGATTTTATATTGATTATGGCACATAAAGATGTTTGGCTGTTTACTTCTAAATAAATCTACTTATAAGTAAATATTATTTTTTTATTAATGAAAAAATCATCTATAAGTTAACTTATTTTCGCAACAAGGTAAGAATTTCTAAAAAAAAAAAAGGTAGTCACAAGTATCACCAAGCTAGAACGTCTCAACTCTTGCATGGAGGTTGACATAGATTAAATCGGATTTTTAGTAGATTTTAATAAAACTATATGATTGAAAAGTTACAAGTCTCATGAAATGTGTAATTAAAATTAATTGTTGATTTTATTTTGAGATTAAAATCAAATTTTAATCCATACTACACAGAGGCTGAAATGTTTTCACAATATCTAGCTGATTGTGACCATAACATCTTAACAATTTGATGTCGAACCCCTTTAATTTATTTGGAAGGGTAGGAGAAGATTGTATATGTTGATGATAGGTAGAATATACCATATTAGACGAAAAAAAAAAAAGTGATAATAATTTTATTAAAATGAGAGATCAAAATGGCCCTTCAAACCATGAATAATGTGGATGAATGAGCTTGTACCTTTGTGGCAACTACAATAGAATGTTGATTCCACCATGCCACCAATTTATTGAGAAGGTGACCCCTCTTTCTTCATCTTTTCAAACTCATAATTGAAACCTTTTAACTTTTTCTCTTGTGAAATTGTACGAGGAAAATGCTTTTTGGGGGTACATTGTAGGAATCGTGTCAATGTCATGTAAAAGCCTACTGCAACTTATACTTAGTCCCTATTTGGTGTAGATTAGAAGTTGATAAAAATTTCGAGTCAAAATCAACAATTAGTTTGAGCATACATTTTATAGGATTCACGACTTTTCATTATAGGCGATGTATTCCTAATATCAATTAGCCAATCTCAAGATTAATACATGAAAGTTGAAACTTTTCGTACAATCAAAAGATGCAATTTCAACCATGGCGTGAAATAGAATGTGTTCCACAATAGGTTGCCAAGCAAAAAAGTGAATGATATTATTGGTGGTTGTTAAAACAGGGCGGTCGAGGTCAGTTCATCCAAACAAATGTCGAGGCCTATACCATGTTGGACAAGCCACTCGACTCAATAATTTTTTACCTTTTTAGTTATTTTTAAATAAAAACAAAAAAATTCATTAGAGAGCGCCCCCATGAATCAATCCACGCAGGTCACACTATGTCACAACATGTCTAACAAATTAAAAAAAAAAAATAAAAAAATAAGTGAAATAAGTGAAAATCTTCATAGAGAGAGGAAAGGGAAGAAACGAACACCTTCCTTATTTTTTAAATCACCCATTTTCATGAGATACAAGTACGTCTCTAATTATTATAGTAGATAGTTCACTTAGATATCCCATGCAACATTTCTAATTGCTGCATATGAATGAGTAACATTATTCATCACCCCTCCTAATATTTTACCGACCGTCTATGTGACTGTGAAATTAGTGTCGCATTATTCAATAGAGTTGTAATATCTTTTTATTTAATAGACAACATGACAATGACACTAATTTCACATATAATACTATGTGCGACTTGCGGACAATCATATAAGGTGCGAGGGTAAACTCTACGATGCACTTGCATTGTTGCACTAAGAGCAGGCAGTAGCCAATAGCCATGAGCATCAAATGCCATTCTCACATTTCACATTAGATAGATTTACACTAGTCTAATCTTCCATTAATTCCTTCATTTATCCCCCAAACCACCAGCCCACCTTCTCTTTCTCTCCATGGCTTCAGGACCAGCAGAACAACCTCTACCAGCCCTGCAATATCAGGTACATGTCCATGTTTTTACAAAAAAGAATTCTCATTTTCTGCTTGCTTTTCTAACTTGCAAGTTCTTTCTGTTTGTTTTTCAGACGTGGGTTCTGAAAGTTTCCATCCACTGCCCAGGCTGCAAAACGAAAGTCAAGAAAGTTCTTCAAGCCATTGAAGGTACCGTAATAATCCTCTCTTCTTCTGGCTTCAAGAAAATTCTTCAAAACATTGACAACGTATTCGGTAAGGTTGACTTTACTGTACACCATTCATTGTACGCTCTAGTAACGTCTAGTACATGAACCAAACATGATCTGCTTCAAGAACATTGGCATCTTGTTTAGTGAGGTCGATTGTAGCGTATTGAGAAAGAAAAGTAATCTTGTTTAATGTATTGTCTAGTCATGTTCAGTAATGACTTTGAACATGATTACTCTGCGATTGTTGTTTTATTTGCTAAACAAGTTCATTTTCCCCACTTAAACCTTAATTTGCAGGTGTTTATACAACAAATATCGACGCACAGCAGCAAAAAGTTACAGTTACTGGAAATATTGATGCACAAACACTGATAAAAAAGCTGATGAAAAATGGAAAACATGCAGAGTTGTGGCCGGAAAAACCTGCCGGGAAAGAGAAGAAGTCAGGAAAATCAGACAAACCAAAAAACAGTGACGAAGAAGTGGAAGAAAATCCAGCTGAGAATAATCCTGAAGTGAAAATAAGTAATTCTTCTCCTGCAGTTAATGGTGGTCCAACGGTGAAATTCGTTGGAGTTGACACCGTTCTTGAGTCAAAGTCCCCGGAAAATGTAGTCGGTGGGGAGAAATTTCCGGAAGTGGAGCAAAAGAGTCACCCTAACGGCGGAGCTGGCGGAGGCGGAGGTGGAGGACAAGGTGGTGGTAAAAATAAGAAAAAGAAGAAAGGGCAGAAAGGGAATAACAATAACAATTCAGGTTCAGGTGGTGCACCAGCGAACATAGGATTGGGGATTCCAAACATGGGTTCCACTCAAGTTGTTGATCAAACTAATCTGAGCTCTTCGTTTCAGAATGTGATACACTATCCATCAAGTTATGGGCCCCAAGAGGCATATGTGGTGAGTTACAATGCTACGTACCCCACCGCAGGCGCGAGTACTCCAAGTTATTACATGCCTGTGTCCTCACCGTATTTGTATGGACATGCACAGTCGGAGGGTTATCAAGCGATATCTACGCCGTTGGATTCATTAGAAATTTTGAGTGATGAGAACCCTAATGGATGCTACATCATGTGATTGAGGATCTCTGATGAAACATGGGGAGATAACGTGGGGGCAATTTTGAAAAATGTACAAAAAACAGGGTCTAGAAAAGCAAACATAGATTTCTTTGGTTGGATCTTTGGTTTCAAGTGGACTTGAAGGCGATCCATAATGTGCTAAAAATGGTAAATAATAACTATGTTGTGTGACATGCTCTACTATTTCATGTGCATTTTTTTGATTTCTTCATAGGTTTGGAAGCTAGAATTATTACATTCTTAATGTATTGTTAAAACTATATACAAATATACGCGCTACATAGGGGAAGAACGGAGAAAATTTTAGAACACATAGCTTAAAGTACTAATTTACAAGAAATTGTCGTGTTTCTACTTTGACGTCTTGACCTTTTCAAGTTGTTCAATAACCCTTTACGCATATCTTTTTATAGCATCCAAGAACCTATTTCACATTTTCCTAAAAATTGTAGCTTTGACTCCCTATTTAATCTAACTAACTAGACTCTCCACTAATTCAAGTCGAGCTTACTCAAACTATGCCTCCGAAAATGTACAAGATAAAGTAATGAAAGAAACTAATTCTTTTTTATTTTCTTTAACAGTATTGTCCAGTAATGTCGAGTCTAAAATCTTTTAAAGGTCAACCGCTACGTTTCTACCTCAAAAATAAAGAATAATTAGTTTCCACATAGCTTCCACCAATATTTAATAATAGCTACAATGGAAGTGAGAAAATGGGTGGAATGGAACAATTCAGCCTAACCAATCAATGCAGAATATTCATTGGAGTAGCCTTCTTCACACATTTTGAGCACCTTATCCTAGCAAAAATTATACCTTAATCTTAATTATCTTATATTTCTTGTCAATGGTGGAATTATTTTCTTATTACGAGAGTATATTGACTATTCCATACTTGTATCAAAATCGCTATATTATTCTTACTCTAGAAGCGAACCTTTTGGAGGAGAGTTTATGGTACGTAAAATGTGTAAGAAAAACCTGTGATTACTTCTATTAATGTAGATAACATTTAATTGTACTTTTTGTCATCAATATTTTTTCGTTAAACTACTCGTCCAAAAGTTTCTCACATGTACGTCAAATTTGTTAACTTTTTCATCCAAGGTACAGCTTATCCACAATTTTCGCAGACGGAGTCCTAAATTTATAATAGTTGCATGTCGTAATTTCAAACTGTTAAATTTTGTCCCGTCCCCTAGACAAGGTCAAGATGTACCATGTGCCCCCATCCCGGTCTCACCTAGTAACATACGGCTCAACCACAAATGTCCCTCCTAACATGCACGCAAGCTTCATTTTTCATCAAATGTATGACACATAAAAGTTTCATAATTCGTCGACAGCAAGACTTCAATACAGATATCTAAGAATTCAAATGAGGTGGTTGGCCGAAGATGAGATGTTTTACTCTCAAATCTTCAAAGGTCGAGAAGCTACAAAGAAGAGAATAATAAGCACAGAGAATCAAGTAAAACCAGAAGATAACAAGATATGTTGAACCATTCATAATAAGCAAAAAGATAAATGAATCAACCATTCATTAATCAATTTTCAATTACTATATATGAAGATAACCTTTATTTTTTACTATTATATCTTGTTTCCCATTTGAAAGATTCCAGCATTGTGAATGAACTTCTGAGTCAAGCCTCTTCATTATTCATCAAGTTTGCTATGAATTTTGTCTCACACGCACAAAAAAATGGAAAAAAATAACTATGAAGCCTCGAATTTCTAAGTTTTTCAGGTTCGACACAAGGCAAGTGAATTCAAAATCAAGAAAGGCACGCTGCTCAGAACCATACAAACGAAGAAGCAAACAAAATAGGAGCATCGGATATTAAATCATAACTGAAGCTATGAAATGAGATTCAAACAGTGGCCAAGGAAAAGGGTAAAATAGAAGCATTGGATCTTAAATCATAAAAAGTAACACGAACCAGACAAGCCAACATAATATATGAGGCACGTTTTAAGCAGAATCGTCAGCCGACTTGGGATCTTCTCTTGCTTTCTGAGAAGCTGAAGGGGACGGAGACCCTTCTTGACCCATTTCAGCTCTAAGGTCATTGATACTCTGCTCCAATTCATCAATCCGGTTCCCCATCTCATCAAGTAAGACATAGTTAAGGAACTAATGAGCTCAGGCGTATCAATCAGCTGATAAAGATAAATCATATGGAGATTAATTTGTTCATTATTATGGGTATGTTTCAGTATGATTAGCATAAAAAAGGTCACGTGGAAGTACTTTTTAATGGTGGCATGTACTCAATTTTTAAGTGCTGTAATTTTTGTTCCCCAGGATTATATATTCATTCAAGTCTCCCAAACAATAACAACAGTGGTATTATCGATAAAAAAGAATGCAATATAAAGTAAAAGAGCTTTAAAAGGATATTTTTACTGATGATGGACTCAGACATAGCCTGAAACCTTGTTTGCTGCAAAGATAAAAATACTTGAATGTCATGTTCTGTAAAAAGTGATAATGCAGAATTCAACTTGATATGCTAATAACTCACCATTTGTTGAAGGAGGTTTTGCACCTGAAAACATAAAATAACAAGTTAGCACATATTAAAAGTATATCATATCACAATTCAAAAAGCAGAATCTCATGTAATACGGACATTTGAGCCTGTGAAATTTTCTAATCCCGCATAAGTCCATTTGAATTCATTTATTCATCTAATATCTTGTAGAGGCTTCGCTGACACTAGAGAAATTGAATCCATATAAAACCTGTTAATCAAAGGCTAAAGCTTCTATGTTAGCTTTTCCCTCCCGTAGTCACTGACCTTCCTAACCACGCTTTCGTTGCTTGGGTGTATAAATAGAATATTTATTTTGATAAAACCAGTGTAATGCTTTGCTGAAACGGTTAATCATGAGACTCGAGATCTTTCTATTCCAAATCCATCTTGCAGCATCTCATCCTTAAACATCCCCATTGCCATATTCAACTAAATAGATGCTATTATGGAGCAGAAATACATAGCTAATCCACTGAGATAAAAAGAAAAAAATTTCAAAGAACAAGTCATCTGGCAACTTCTAGAGCTTATAGAACTTACAAAAACAGTCATGTCAGCAGTACTTTGTTTTGAATTCTCAGAGTCATGCCCATCCTGCAAGTAAAGAAAGAAAGAAACTCATAACTATAGGCATAGACAGCTAACCATGCAAACTTCTACTTCCCGTGCAAAATATTGAAACAGAAAGTATCAGTCAAACCAGTGTTCTAAATAGCGTAATGCGTGGCGATGTGTGGAGGCCAAGCAATGTACTAGACGAGCAAAAGCGAGGCTTTTGCGTAAAATAGCGTAAAAAAGCGTTTTCTTATTTTAATATTTAATCAATCAAAAAATCATTTAATAATTAAAAATAATGCATACTAAACATTTATAACATATTTATAGGAACTTTATACATTTTTTCAAAGATTCTAACAAAAATATAAGATTAAAATTTAAATACAAAATAGTAAGTAAATAGCATAGTAACTTAGATTTTATTTAACACTTTATTATTTTTCAAAGTTTCCAATAAAAAGATAAGTTTCAAATTTAAATATAAAATAGTAAACAAATAGCATGGGAATTTAATATTTCAATTAAAGATTGGCTAGCGTTCGGTTATTCCCCTCAACTCCTATATGTTCAATTTAGGCCCTCATTATTTCAAATCGTGGAAAAAAAAATTAAAAATAATGTGTGTCTTAGCACGCATTAGCAGTCAACTCCAGGCGTTGACCGCCAAAAAAGCGCCAAACAACTTAGCGTAGCGTTTTGGTCGAGCAACGCGCAATAGCGGGCAATAACGCGAGCAATAGCAGGCAATAGCGCGAGCAATAGCGAGCTATTTAGAACACTGAGTCAAACCAACCAGATCGACATAACATTGAAATATAAAAAGNAAAAAAAAAAAAAAAAAAGCACCCAGGTCATCTTAAGTATGGGATATGTTCTCAAAATAAAGTTTTCCACTTAATACATCCTATATTTGCTGCACCGGCATGCTACCACTGTCAGATAATCATTAAAATACTGCATTATTTCAGTTTAAATTCTTAAGATGCTTTCTGCAACATATATAAAACCTCCTTCAAATCCACCCGGTAATCCTTTTGCTACTGCTTCACTAAAATTATGCTTCAGATTCCCCAAACGTGATATAGAATCCTCAATCAACTAACAAGCATTAAAAATAATATTTTAAATCTCTTTAAAATTTTAGTTCTGATATAACGCGAACCAACAGTATAAAATTAAATAAACATTCTTCAAACTTAAAACTAACACATAGATGTAGTGCAATGAAGTACAATAAAGTTTATACCAACATTGCCTAAATCATAAGCCTTAGCTACGTCAGTATAATCCCCCAATGTGTAGCAGCAGAGTGTGTGAGCCAGTGAACGTGTACTACAAGAAATAAGCCACAAGAAGCAATATACACCTCTATTTATGCCAAAAATATTTTTAAAATGCATAAAGTTCAACTTTTTACAACACGAATTCCATTATGAGTTAAACTCTACTTTATCTCCTCAAGAACTTACCTTTTTCTAAAAAGAACCATTCATGAAAACATATTAAATAAGAAATTCAAATTCAAGGTCAAATCATGCTTAATTTAAACCAAAAAAAAAAAAAAGCAAAGAAATTGAAGAGCTACATAACCGAATGATTCAAACCATAGCCATGCTATTGTTCTTTTTTGGCATTTTCGAAAATCAATAAATAAGATAAATCTTGTCTAATATAAGAGTAATTCTGTGAAAAACACAGATCAAAACGCTCAATCTACGATTATAAAACGTGAAAAGGAAACCAAACCCTAAATTCTAATTGAGTATATATAAGATTTACAGTAAATCGAAATCATTTGGATACAGTTTCAGAGGAAAATTCAAAATAACATTACCATTTCTTAATCGGAGATGTTTCTCTGCTGCTAAGTGCGCAAGAGAGATTGATTTTGTGAATTTGAATTTGATGCAGTGAATTCGCAATACAAAGGGCAATTTATTTCACTAGAGGTTACAAAACTTACAAATTTATGTCATATTGACCATCAAATTTTGAATTTATTGCACTTGTCACCAATTATATTTGTGCCAGTTCGAACATTTGCTACCAAAAATATTGGAATTCCTGATTTGGCCAATGGACTTTTGTAACCCACCCGTAACAAACCTCCAATTCCTAATTTCCTCACGTCCTTTTGTCCACCAAACATGTCGTTACCTTTTTTTTTCATACACAAGATGACTTTATAGGTAATAGGGTCCGATAGAAATAACACTAGTGAATTTTTCTTTAATTGTTAAGAACTTTCTTTATGAACATTTTTGGTAGGACTTAAAATTCAATTAAAATTGAAAATATAGTCGTTATTGGGTCACACCCGTCTAATAAAAGTTAACAATAACGACTAATTTTTCAATTTTAATCCGATTTTAATCTCTACCGAACAAGCTCTATATCTCTTCCCTAGTCAGCCCACTCAATATTCGAAAGAGAGTAGGCATTTTAAGAACACGACTTTTTCAATTGCTAAAAAATCATATTGCCAAATTTCACCTTTCTATTTGAGTGAGTAAATTGAAATAGATGTATAAGTTAGATGATCAAATTAAGAAAATTGAAGTTAAGTAACCAAACATGAAACAAACCCATAACACACGTAACTTCAACCAAAATTCTCCAGTTGCTCCCATATCAAATTTGGGCTAACTCTGCATTTCAGAAAGGTCCATGGGGGCCCATTAATCGGATATTTATTCAAGATTAAATAGATAAAATAAAAAAATTACACAAACAATTCTTTCCCACCACAAAATAAAATTTAATTGTCTCATTTTAAATAAATTCAATGCCAAAAATTTATTCAATATGCCATAAAAAATTCTGCTTCAATATGAAGCAGATTATGGTACATAATTGGACCTTGTATAACATATGAAGTCTCAACTAAACTGCTGCCATGGCTGGAATTGGCTGGCCGACAACATTGTAACATATGCCACATAGCGAGGGGTGGTCGTCAAAAGTGCCGATTTGAGACGAAAAATTCCAGCATCTATCACATTTTGAACCCGTTGCACTTGACACTCCAACCCAGATTTTGTTTTTTCCTTGAATGAGATATTCTCCGACGCATGGATGAAAAAGTACTCATAATTCACTACGCTATAAAATCTTGTTCATTAATGTGAACTGTATGTATAATAATGTTGAACTCAGTGTACCTGAGATGTTATAAATATGCGATGCAATGTATCAGCTTCACTTTCTGATGCACACATGTCGACCAGTCTTGCAGCCAGATTATCGTCAAAGGCATGGAGATAGACTTTTGCTTCTAAACTGGAACCGATCGACTTCTTACCATGAGCAACCTCCAGCACTTTGTTTACCTCTGTTCTCAGCTGGCCAAAAGTAGCGTATTAGGGGGGATAAATATTGGCTACTGTTCCACCAGCACCGAATAATCCTCGTCATACAGGAAATTGCTAACCGGGACTAAACATTTCTTGTAAACTTCAGTTTCAAATCACGGAACAGAATTTTTTTTGAAATCACGGATCTTGAATGTACAAGTCAATCAAACTCAGTGGCATTTTGATTCAAGGGAATTGAAAGTTCTTTTTCTTCTTATCATGAAAATGTGAGATTTGGAATTCAATGTGAATTAATCATTGCCAAGCTTTCTATTGCTGATTAAAGCCCTCATTTTGAAAGGTTAAATTGAGGTGAAGTAGTGAATCAGCGGCCCTCTTCCGGTGATTTGAGTGAAGAAACTCGTTCTACATGGACAGCTCCAGCAAATAATGGGTTAAAACTAAACGCTGATGTTGGGTTGGGGCAGGTGATCAGAGACCATTAGGGTAATGTGATAGCCGCAGGTGGGACTAGGCTGAGAGGACAATTTACACCCCAGGATGTATATGCTTTGGCTCTGGCCTTCGCCAGAGATCATGCTTTTCGTTTGGAGGTTGATGGAGTGCGATGCGCCACGTAAAGTGCAATGCTTATAATCTTTGTGCATTAACTCCAAATGAACTACTATTAAACCATGTTCTAAAATGCGCGCAAATGCGCCGCCTAAGAGCGACGCGTGGAGAAAACGAGTCGAATTCGGGGTATGCACGGAAAAATGCGTTTTTGTTCAGGCACGCCTAATCCCGCCAAGGAGGCGCATTATGCAGCCTCATTTTTTTTTTTTTTAATTTTTTTGGGTAAAAAGACAATTTTTTTATATAAAAATATATTTAATGCCTTAAAAATACGAAATGCATTCTGGCGCTTATTCTTCGCATTGACACGCCTAAACTTGTGATTTTTGATTCTCGACCTCTACGCATCGCAATGCATTACGCATTTTAGAACATTGCTATTAAATGATGCTGTTC